ACTATTTATAGGAATTTAAAACAAAAACAAAGCTAAGCAAGGACTGCTAGGATTCAGTGAGACAGAGCTGTCTGTAGAGATTTGAACTGCCTGACCTATACCACTGTCAATTAATGAAGCAATTTTCCTTTCCAAGATGGCCTGTGAAGTTACTCCTCAACAGTTTTAGGTTCACAGACAGAAAGTGTTTCATAGTATAAGCAGGAATTAAATTGTATTGTCTCAGTATTTTTTTCATTTTAATATATTCCTCTCTTCTCTTCCTCCTAACCAGAGGAAGAATCAAAAGAATTATGAAATTTATTCTTAAAAATTTTATATTGAATTAATAACACCTTTTTCTTATCTTTTTTTAAGGTATTTGATTCCAAATGCAGGTGATGCTACCAAAGCCATAAAACAACAGATCATGAAAGTATTGGATGCCTTGGAGAGTTAGTAACTAAAGACTTTGTAGAGACCAGTTTATAAAGAAGAAGCAACCAAGATACTGTCTGTGGACACAAGCTGACTGTTTCCCAACTGAAGACTAACTTATGAGAATTTTTCTGTTTGCTGGTGGAAGTGCCTGAGTAGCAGGCTTAAGATAGGGTAAATTATTATCAATTTCTGAAACGGTTTTTTAATTTTTTTTTATTATAACTTCTTGGTTTTGAAGAAACGTTTATTATAAAGGTCAGTTTGTTCCATTTAAATGCAGCCTTAATGGGAGTGATCTGCATCTTTGAAGAAGCAGATGCAGTTGGGTTCACATTAAGTGTGTTAAAGAAATGGACCACTGTGAGATAACAGAGAAGCGTTTGAAAACAGACTGGTTTTTAAATTACTGTCCCTTGAAAGTAAATGACTCCATTGCCTACAATGGTCTATAAATCTGATTTTGGGTAGTATCAAATATAATTAAAGACTTATGTTTATGAGCAGAATAGATACAAATTTTAGAAATTTTCCTCATTAAAAATGGTCAAATCTAGCTTGGGCTGCAAATAAATGCAAAAAATACTAGCAATTTGTAAAGTTAACTTTTTTTAAGGTTTTACCAACTACTTGGTTAAATAACTAGAATTGGTGGTAAGGTTTATTTTTAAATACCAAAAATAACTGTAGTTTTTACTACTGGGTTGTGATTTTTGTAATTAAGCAAAATATTGTATTTTGTAGATTGAGGCTGCTTCTCATGCAAAGATGAGTATGTGTGTTGAAATTAATGTTTCATGACAGAATATGACAGTTGAAAATAAGTTACCTTGATCCTCAGAAACAAAATGTCTGAGACATTTAGATGTTTAAAAACCTTCAGTTCAGCACAAAAGTGAGTACAGTCTGACAGCAAGAAAACAAATGCACACTAATTAAGTGACGAGATTCAAGTGCTATGCCTGTGATAAGTGTATTCTTAACCTGTTTCCTTCACTGATTCAAGCATTTGTGTATTTTATTTTAAGTAACAACTTCTCAATTAGTTAATGTTTGGGAGGTGGCAACTACATGGTTGTTTATCATCAGCTTTCCACTTTTTCATGAATGGTTCTTGTGGTAAAAAGCTCAGTACAGGAACAAGGCATAGCATCTTTGTAGACTGATAGGAAATCATCAAAAACTGTGAAATAAAGAGAGTGGGGATTGGCTTTGCTGCATGAAGTCTTCTGAGTATTTCTGTCAAAACCTGTGATTTGGTACTTCATCAGGAGATAAAATAAGTTAAACTGACCTTTATAAAAAACACTTATTTTAAGTTATTTTACTAGAAATCAAGCTAGGGCACCTTAATTCTGGAACTAATTCCTTTTTTTTTCCTTCTTAGTATCTGAGTAAACACCAATAGAACTTGAACTGTTGAAGATATTTGCATGAAATTGCACCTGGGCCAATGCTCATGTATTTATAGTTTTGCCCAGCAGCTGTTGTATTACATTTTCCTTTTCCTAATCCCTTCTGAAAATATCCTCAAGAGTCTCTGACTCTGTGCCTACTTCAGCAATGAGATTTTTTTCATGTAAAGATGTTTGTGCTACTGTTTATAAACTACAGTTGTAAATAAACCAGTACAATTTGAACATAACTTGTTCTGTCAGAATGCATTTAGTTGCATGCTGTGTGAATTCTCTGAATCAATTAGAAGCTTTTCCTAAAGGTGTTTTGTAAATGGAAGTGAATTCGGTCTTTGGAGTGAAGAAGCTGACTATGGATCATCGGAACCCACTGCCAGTGACTTCTTAATGTAAGTATTTTGGCATTTAGACTAATTCCATTGAGGACTTTTGGGTGAGCCATAGTAAGCTCTCACAGAAAGGTCAAAATGAATTAGCAAGGGGTCAAACTACAGAAAGGGTTTCTGCATAAATTCCAGACTTCTCAACATCATATTTTTTATTACGAAAATGTTGACAGAATGATACAAAATATTTGTCCTAGTCAGGAGAGGAAAAAGTGAAAATTACACTCAGTCGTTAAACAGGTTTATTTGAGTATTAAAGGTGGAAAGTGGCAAATGTGTATGCTTCCCTGTGAGGACAACAAATTCTGACCTTTTAGATCTACAGTAAGTAAAGCAACAGTAAGTTCTTATATCTCTTCTGTGTAGAAATGTATATAGCCATTAAGAAGATAATTATTTGTCATTTTAAAGGCAACTTGCCAGTCTGACAAGCTCAGTACAAACTACGAATAGTTTCAATGATGTTTGTGCACCTCTACCCACAATTTAAAGGTTACTTTTGCCTTATAGTACTTTTTCGTAGTTAGTACATTTGTTATAAAACCTGTATTGCTAAGCAGAAATTCCAGTTATAGTACCAGAGTGACATTTTTTTCAAATAGTAGGTATGCTACTTCCTGTCCATTTCATCTTCAAGGATTTTTTTTTCAATTATTTGCCAGAGGTTTGCAGGCTCTTGTTCTATTCTGCATGCACTGCTGTCTGTATTGTTGAATGTAAGATGATAGCTGTTGCTGGAGTTTTAGGTTTTATTTTTTCTTTATTTTAGTGAAGTGAGGTCTGTAGCAGGAAAGAAACAATCAGAGTCAACTTTCCTGCCAAATGAAGGCTGTTACCTTTGTGTTTCATAGCAAGGGTCAGTGCTTCTGTGGTCACTGATGGCTCTTCAGTTGTCTCACAAAGTCTTTTCAATTCTGCTCTGTACGAAAATTTGTACAGAACTTTACATGCCTTACCCACCAAAAATACTCTGACTGTAGAACTGCAATTTTATTTACATTGCCTTCTCCAGATGTAAGTAAAGATTGCTTGCTCTACTTTCAGTTCAGTTCCCTTACACATGGGTCTCAGCTGTGCTTGTAACTTTTCCTTTCAACTGCATTTCAGTTGTAGTTTCAGAGCTTTTGATACTCAAATAACCTTTTTCAGTATAGGCATAGTCTACTGAATGTCTGAAAACTTTCCCCTTTGGGAAGGAGAGGGGTGATGTAACTTGTTATTTTGTAACTTATATACTAGAGGGTTTGAGATATTTTTGTTTGAAACTCGAAAAATGAGTTTTATCTCTCTGATCCATGGGAAACCGAATTTTTAGTCTGTGCTTTTCACCTTGAAGGGATGATACAGCTTTTCTTATTTTGTGTGAAGTCAGGAGACAGCTGTTCTTTGTGCCTGGAGCGCAGCAAGGTGTGCTGTTTGGGGGAAAAAATAAATAAAATCGAATATGCTCTTTCTGGTACCATGGGCAAGTGAAAAAGAAGAGAGGCCTGCCAAAGAGGTACTGCACTGTCCATTTTGCCATCTTTTGGCTTGGTCAGTTTGGGTTGAGTGGTTCCCTTTACTGCCCCAAGGTGCAGATTGAACAGTCTTCCTGTTGAAGGAAGGTTTGTCACTGCTTGGTTAATGCACTTCCCATCCTTTATCTCTCTGCATGTTTCCTGAAGGCGAATGTGTGTAAGAGATTGATCACCCTGGGTTACCCATTTTATCTTTGTGCCTTCTGCTGTCATGTGCTGTCAGCTTACAGAGATACTCCTACCTGAGAAATACTGCCTCTATACAACATGAATCTATAATTCTACAAACATGCTTATAAAAAGGTTGAGGTTGGAAAATACGTATGTGAGACAGCAACGTGCTGTGTTGTGTTTAAAGCTACGGAAGAACAGCCTTAACAACATGTTAGCATGGTGGTTTCACAGAATTGTTAGGGTTGGAAGGGGCCTCTGGAGATCATCCAGTTCAACCCCCCTGCCAAGGCAGTGTCATCTAAAGCAGGTTATACAGGAACAAGCCCAGGAGAATTTGGACTGGCTCAAGAAAGGGGAGACTCCATGACCTCCCTGCGCAGCTTGTTTCACTGCTCTGTCACCCTTAGCATAAAGAGGTTCTTCCTCAGGTTGAAGTAAAACTTCTTGTGTTTTAGTTTATGGCCATTGCTCCTCGTCTTGTCACTGGGCACCACTGAAAAGAACCTGGCACCAATCTTGGAGAGATTTATATACATTAATGAGATCTCCAGACTAAATAGACCCCAGTCTCTCCTCATAAGAGGAATGTTCCAGACCCCTCATCATCTTTGTGGCCTCCACTGGACCCTCTCCGGTAACTCCTTGTTTTTTTGTACTGAGGAGCCAGCTGTCCAGGTGTGGAGTGCTGTGGGGATGTCTCTACCTTAGGAGATGCTGTTCTTACAGAGGAAGATAGCTGGGGATGTCCCAGGTGAATGAGTTACCTGTCAGCTGGTGCAGATCCCTCGGGATGAGCCCTTAACCAGCACACGGCTGCCCAGGGCAGGGTCCGTAGGCACAGCGGCTGCTGAGCTCCAGGGGGTTTGGGTGCTCAGCTGTGTCCCTGCGGGATGCTGGAGTGGCGCTGGAGGAGCACCGCCAGCTCCGTGCCACCCACGGGGGTTTTGCAGGAAGGAAGGGGGGTGCTTCATCCCCTACTTCTCTCCCTGCTCAGACCCCTGATCCGGGAGCCAGCAGACTATTTTGGGGCAGCGTCCGAGCCGGTTTTAACCGAGCCCCGGGCCGGGCCTGCGTGTCCCGGCAGCCCCTCGGTACCCGCGCATGCTCCGTGCGGACCGGCGGGGGATGCGGGCGGCCGGCGGAGCCATGGCGAGTGAGTGAGTGAGTGGGAGCCCCTCGCCCCTCTCCTCCCCCGCCCGGCACAGCGGACAGGCGTGGCGTGGGGATCGCCCCGCCGAGCCCCGCGGCCCCCAGCCCCGCTGCGGCCGGCGAAGGCCTCGGCGCGGAGCCTCTGGAGGGCTGCGGAGCAGTGCGGGAGAGAGGGAGCTGTGCTGTGAGGAGAGCGGGACGCGGCGCTCGCCCTGCAGGGTCAGCTCGTCAGGGGACGCGGACAGACGGGCCCGCCGGCCTCCTGGTGTTTAACGGAAAAAAATCCAGCCCGAAACAGAGCGAACAAAAAGCTTGTTTTGTAGTGGTACAAAATGCGAGCCGTTGTTGTTCTGTGACGCGCCTCTACCTGTTTGTGGTCTGCATTGCTGCAGGCTTATCCTGAGAATTGGTTTTAAGGTAGTTTTTGAGGCGGCTTATCCAGGCTGGAAGCAGAGATCTCTCTTTGCAGCACTGCATTTTTGTTACTTCTACATGTGAACGGTTTTACATCCACTTGTGCTCACAGTTTTGTTTATTCTGTTGTGACTGAGCTTTAATTTTCCCTTTAACAAACTCCATACCTGAGGCATGGGGAAAATAAGATTTTTGATTTTCCAGCATTTTAAACATTATTGTATTTTTCTCCAAGCAGGTGCTCTTTTGTTGTTTGCTTTTGTGGGGTTTTGGGGGCTTTTTTTGATTTGTTGGGGTTTTTTGTTTTTGTTTTCAAAAGTGAATTTTTGCTGAAATGTAAATCTTTAATTGTCCAGTTTCTCCGAGCTAAAACACATTCCATAAGTAGAGGAAAGTTTTCGACAGATTCTGGGTATGGTTACCTAAGTGGGTCTGGAAACTATGGTTACATCTGTTCAGAATATCAGATGAGCTTTGTTTACTCAGTAGACCCAGTAGTAAAAGTCTCTCAATCAGAAGAGTGACAAAGTTAATCATTTGCCTCTAGAAATTAGCTGCTTAGCTACTGAAGTGAGAACTCAAGTAGGAAAAAGGATGTGCCTTCACTGTTCACTTGTCCAGTCTCCATTTTGCTTGAATCAGATCTTCCTGTTTCCCTGACCACTGAGGCTGTGTTGCTCTCAGCTTGGTCCTTTTCCTACAGTAATCTGTGACCTCCTTCCCGAGAAGAGAGGTACTTTTTGGCTGGGGTACTTCTTTTATGAAGCCAGAGCAGGTTTTTTGTTTGGTATTTTTTGTTGATTGTTTAAAAGGAAACATTTTTACCTGATCAGGATGTGTTTTCCTACAACCCAGGGTACTAGAAGATCCGTGGAAGGAAGCCCAAGGGGTGTGCACTAACCTTGTATACTTTGAAAGCCTGCAAATATAGAACCTGCTTAGCGGCAGTAGAAACTGTTGATAACACTTGCAACTGTCTCTTGAGTAGAAACCAAATTGCAAAGAAATTATCAGAAAAGATGTTACCTTTATGGGCCTTTATAAACTGCCTGCCAGACTAGGTGTGATTTGAGGGATAAATAAAAGCAAACTATCCCCTTATTGAGTGCTTTGGGGATTATCAATTCTTTGGTTTGCTAGTGACATTTTAGGACACGCAGTGTTCGTCAAGTGGCATGTACCACAAAAAGATGGGCTTGCACAGTGTGTGCAGCCTGGGAAGGAAGACACAGGGCTGGGTGACCTGGGGTCTCCCTTTCTGCACCATGGCACCTTCCATTGGATCGTGGGCTGGGAACTGTCTGGGCTGAGTGAACTGGCACAAGAACTGTGTGATCTTTTCCCTGGGCATGGTGATAGCCGTGCATGGCTCCCATTAGCAAGCCTGGCCTTCAGTGTTCTCCCTGTACCACAGGAGTCGTAGACCACAGAATGAGTTGGAAGTGGTTTATATATATGCTTATATATTAAAAAAAAATCAATTTTGTCAAGTGCTTGTCACTGAATTCAAATTTTGAAGAGTTTCCTGGGGGAATGCTGCTGAATGTTTTTTTTTTCTTTTCTACTATTAGCCTTCCGCCTCGCTCTTATTCAGCTTCACGTGTCTGCTGTTAAATCAGATAATCTTCAACGAGCCTGTGGGCTGGTGAGAGAAGCCTCAGCTAAAGGAGCAAAAGTTGTGGCTCTCCCTGTGAGTAAAGATCGTTGTCTACTTGGCACCTATGCCTCAAACCCTTCAAAACCTCTTTTTAGTGTTACTGATGCATTCTGTATTCCTGTTTCTCCCTGGATAGCTTACACACTGTATGAGGCTTCAAAATAAAAATAAAAAAGAAAACCGGGTTCTATCTTGCAGCACGCTTAAGAGGTGGGAAAAACAAGAAGGGGAAAAAAACAAGTTGTCCTTTTTTGTAGTATAAGATTCTGCCAAAGTTTTTCCTGGTTTAAATCCCAGGCAATTCCATCATTTATACATTCTGAATTCGTGTAAGTAGCGCTGTAGTACGAACCTTTGCTGAAGAAGTGCAGAAAAAGGTGATTTTCAGCTAAAGAATGTTGACATGAAGGTGAAAGAAGACAGATACATGGTGACTGTTTGCTGTAGGCATTCCAGACATATGAGAAACAAAATAGACATTTCCAGCAGGTTACATGTGGCTGAATTATGATTAAAGGGCATTTCTCTTGTGACTTCCTTATGTGGGAACGTAAATAGCCACTTAAAGTTACTGCTCATTTCTGATTTACTTTTTAAACTTCAGCTATGATGACTTTGCTGAATTTTCATACAGATGGGTGTGCTGGCAACAAGAGGACTTTCCCAGTGCAGCTTTGAGCTTTTCCTCTCTCTTCTTGGGCGTGCATGTGTCGCTCCTGTACCCTGTAGCCTCTGACTCAGGAGTGCAAAGTTCTTCTCTGGCTGAACTTTTGGTCTCAGTTTTACACATGGAATGTTTTCCATCCTGCTGTCACAGGGGAAGCATTAAGCAACCTTCCCAGCTCTCTTCTGCTAACACAGTGCTTGTGTTGCAAATGTAATAACCACTGAGCGTTCTGCCTGGGCCTCCTACATGGAGATTACCTATTATTTGCTGGTTTCATCATGTGTACAAATATTGGGTTTCCCAGACTTATTTAGTTGAGACATTTACTTTGCTAATGAAAATTCATGCTTGTAGAGTAAAAGTTGTCAAACAAGGACAAGGTATTGCATAGGCTTTTGGGAAGTAAATTTTGTACAGCCATTAGGACATGGGCATGAATATTCTCTTGCTTCTGTTTTGGGTTTTGGTTTCATTTTGTTTGTTTGTTTGTTTTTGTGGGGCTTTTTTGTTTGTTTTGCTTTTTTAAAGTAAGTTTATATAAAGAACAGACATAACTCACACTGACTATATAATCTGCACCTCTGTAGAGGTATATGGCAGTTTTACTAGCCTTTTCATTTCTGAGTGTAGAAAAATTTGTGAGAGAAATACAATTTGTAGTATTTATGGATAAAAAAATAAAAGCAAAATCTATTTGAATCAAAAATTGATGGAAGGCAATTCAGAGTTCTGTCCTTGTGTTCTTTCTGCTTTGGAGGGCACAGGAGTAGGTGATCTGTGCAGACAGTCTGCAGTTGTGTCCAGGTGTAGCTCTGCACAGCTGTACCCCAGACTGCAGGCTGGCACAGAGCTCTGCTAGTCCTCTGCAGCCCCAGGTTTTGGTGCCACCCACGTGGACACTGCAAGTGGCAAGATGAAGGTGGAGGCAGCTGGCTTTGCTTGAAGTTCAAACCAGCTTTCAAAGGCCTGGGAAGCTCATTTGGCAGCCTGCAGAGACTTCCCTTCCTGCTTCTTCCATCTACAAGTTCTGCTGTGGATTAGCTGGCACCTGCTGGCCCACTGACTGCATGTGGGGCAAAAATACCCACCCAGTTTTGGTTCAGTTTTTCCAGTTCAGTAGAACCCAACTCAGTTGTTAAGAAGTTTGCTCGAGCAGCCAAGGCATAGATGTTTATGATGCTATTCACAGCTTGATGACTTTTTTTCCCTCTTTTTTGAGGGAAGGGTGGGGGGTGGGTTTGTTACAACATCCAGTGAGCCAAGGTGACAGTGGAGGCAGATGCCTGGGCTGGGAGTCACTTACCAAAGAGTAAGTGCTGGTGCTGTTTGATAGTTTATCTGTGACCTTCAGCTGTACTCCTTTAGGGGACAAAAAAAGTGTTGGGTGAGGTGTCTCACGTCTTCACAGAGCGGGCAAGTATAATAATTCAGAGTGAAAGTTCTTGATGTCATGGGCATCTCAAATACCACTACCCACCTAGTTTAGGCATCTAAACTACTCCATTAATCTGTCTGTCTAAAGATTACATGCCTGGTTCTGAAGGATAGCAGATCTTTAACTAGGGCCTAAGACAGAAGACACTGTCCAGTTGTGAGGAAATAACTTTTAAAGGATTGTTTTAGGAAAGCAACGAGTAATTTTGAGAAATGCAGGCTTTTGCAAACACTTCTTTAAAAGCTAAAAAAAAATTAACCCCCAAAATTTAAAAACTAAAGTGGGCTGTGGATAAGCATGAACATTTCAGTTTTGAGTGGACCTATTTGGCTTGTAACTTGTCAAATGAGCTAGGTGGAACTTGTTCTGATGAGAACATCCTCTGTGTTCTTGTTAAGCCTGGACCAGAGAGTGTGCTGGTCTTGTTACTTGCAGCTTGCATGATAGTCCTAGCTCAGGTTCCATTTGGCATGCATTCCACAAACACACCTGCTGTATTTTCTCTGATGGTTAAAGCCGCTCTGGCCTTCCTGATATTTTTCAATTTGCTTACTGAGCTCCTATAAACTAAACTCCTGGAACTTTTAAACATTGTTTGAGAATATTTTTAGAGAGGAGTTTGAAAAGTTGGTTACATCTCCTTGTAGTGGTGTTACTGGATTTTAGCTTTTTCTTTTCCATCTACTTCTAGGAATGTTTTAATTCTCCATATGGAACCCAGTACTTTAAGGAGTATGCAGAGAAGATCCCTGGGGAATCGACACAAAAGCTCTCAGAAGTTGCAAAGGAGTGCAGCATATATCTCATTGGAGGTAGTTTACTCTTAGTGACCATCCCATTGAGGAAAAAATGGGCAATGTCTGTTAGTGCCAGTGGATTAAAATCAGATATAACACAGTGGGGTAAATCTTTGTTCTTGCCTTTACCAAGGATCCATTCCAGAAGAGGATGGTGGAAAGCTCTATAATACATGTACTGTCTTTGGGCCTGATGGTGCTATGCTGGCAAAGCACAGGAAGGTAAGATGGCAGAATATTGTTATGAAAAGGTTTCTCAGCAGCATTGCACAAATTATTTCATCTGTACCTTGAGGTGATAGAAATTAGTAGAATCTTTTATTTATAATAAGTTGTGTACTGTCACTGACATTTCATGTGCTTTTATTTGTGACATGTAAACACCCCTTCAGAAGCTGGTTGTAAATTTGGTGTGGATGAGGATGACAAAATACAGAGGGTATAATTATCTTTCCCTTATAATTCCTTAATTATAATTCCCATAATTATCTTTATGCTGGGAAAACTGTGATTAAAAAGTAAAACCTGATCAAAGTCTAAAACATAGTGCCACTTAAGTGGGATCAGGGTTTTCCCTCAGCTTCCCAATGTATTTAGTCCTTCTGTTATCATAAATACTGTTCTTTACACACTTTATATGCTATATGTATGATTAGCACAAACAACCAAAGCCCAGGTTCCACAGCGAAGCTGTGACTGCTGTTTGTGGTAGATGTTTGCTTCATGTCACCTTCCACCTCAGCGTTCCTTTGTGCCTTCTCAGAAACTGCCTCCTCTGTAATTCCAGAGTGTTAATCTTACTATGCACACAGGTAGCACTCTGTAGGTGAACAACAGCTTATTTCTTTCAAGGATAAACATAAAAGAGGATGCAAGGTTACTTGGGAAAAAATAAGGTGGTGCAAAATACCTCTGGGGTGCAGGTATTCACTTACTCTGTTAACTAATTCTTCAGTTAGCTGCACTATTAGATCACTTTCTGAAGTACTGTATTGCCCTCCATCTTTTATACCACACCCATCTGCAAGCCCACTACCTCATAGAATGAGTGCAGACTGTACTGTATGAACAAGTAATAATATAAACCCAGCTCTATTATTAGAAAGCTCCAGTCAGGAACAGAGTCTTCCATTGAAATGGAGGGACAAAGACTGTCTGCAGGGCCTCAGAGGCATCTGCAAAGCTGAGAGCTTTATGACTTAGTGAAGGTATTTTTTGGAGAAGTTTTGCAGAATGGGACTCAAATCTTAGAGAGGAAAATATCACCCTCTTTAACCTACTTTAAAATCATCCTGCTGAATTCAAGATATTTTATATTTATCCTCTCTTTTGTAAAATTACTTGTTAGATCAAGATATTGCTATTCTGCAGGGATTTGCAATTTCAGACAGGTATATTTCTTTAAAGAAGAAAACTACTTTAAATCATCATTGGGGATCTAACAGTCTTAAGCAGCATTTGGTTTGGATCCTGACAAAAGAGTAGTCTAGATAACAGTGCCTAGATAACATGTGCCTAATAGAAAGAGGCTCAAATACCAAGCAGAGAAATGATTATTGTTATTAATCACAGTATAATTGCAGGTTCATTTGTTTGACATTAATGTTCCTGGGAAGATACAGTTCAAAGAGTCCGAAACCCTGAGTCCAGGGAATAGTTTCTCCATGTTTGATACACGTGAGTACAAGATAAGCCCTCTCTTTAAAGAGCCGTAATGCAGTAACACCATAGTCATTCTGGAGTTCTCTTCCCCCTCCTCCTTCCGAGCAATGGATTTTGAGACTATCAGATTTATATTAGGCATTTGACAACCACAGCAAATTTAGTTTAACTTTGCTTCAAATGTGTGGGTCACTCTTGAAACTTTTAAAAAGGCAATGTGGTTGCAAAAGGTGAGAAGGTAGAAAGGGAGTTGCAAAGGGACAGAAAGTAAAAAGGACAGAGGAGTAGAAAGGGTTGAAGCACACATTGTGGTTCTTGCCTTAAATAAAGAATGGTCCTATTGATTTGTTAAAGAGAAGTGACTATTTTTTATAGCAATTACAGCTTGAAAATGATCTTATAAAGCATGGCTTGTACAAGAGCAGCTACAACTATACAAACAAACAGCTGTAACAAACAGCTCCACTGGCACATTGTTTCATGTGAGGGTGATACAATAATGGAGACAACTGTAACTGGTAAATCCTATTCCAGCCTTCTTGAATCAATCATATCAGACAAAAAAAGAAAGATACTTACTCCTCCCCACCCTGCAGTGTTCAGAAATTAGCACAGCTTGTTTACTGAGCTCTCCAAAGAGTCTCATCTGCTGTGGTCACTTCCTCCTCCTTGCAATGTGCATGCTCCGAGAAAGGACATGACTGTAGTTTTAGTCCATGACAAACAGTGAGTGCTTTCTTTTCTTGAAAAGAAAATAACTGAAAAACTTGCAGCTAAATGAGAGAGGAATATGTTACACAAAGACCTGATAGAACATGATTTTGTAGAAATAGCTGTTGCTAAAGAGTAGATAACACTGCTTAAGTCTTTCACCATGAAACATGAATTCCCCCCCACCAATAGGCAGTGCTTGTTGGACACACATTGAATTATAGCTCCTCTTGTTGCTGTGAGACATATAAAATCACAGTTGACAGGAGGGCTACAGGGAGTCTTATGATTGCTTTTGTGTACCTCTGATAACGATATGACTGTTGTCTCTTGTGTTTTGAGAACAGCATACTGTAAAGTGGGCCTTGGCATCTGCTATGACATGAGATTTGCTGAGATGGCTCAAATCTACGGCCAGAAAGGTGAGGCTGGGTCTCCTGCAGGAGCAGGGTGAGCCCTAAGGGGGCTATTAGAGTGGTATGTACTGAGCAGTCTGTGGGACCTGGTGTTCTCATCCTCGCCCAGTAACACAAAATGTGTCTTGTGGCCAAGACTTTTATTCAGATGAGTGACTCTTCTCACCAAGTATTCCTCATTTCCTGGTACACCTTTGCTGCTGGAGTAAGGGAATTGGGTATATCCCCACATTAGGTCTCTGCTGATGTAAGTAATCACCTGTATTATGCATGGACAGGTTCTGGTTGATTCCATTTTGGGCAGAGTTTGTGAAGTTGAAAGAAACCTCACCTTAAGTTTCAGTGTGAAGGCCCACTGTAGGGTAAACCACCTTCCTCTTAATAATGTTTGATTCTAACTGTCTTTTAACAAAGGTTGCCAGCTGCTGATATATCCAGGGGCTTTTAACCTGACAACAGGACCAGCTCACTGGGAACTCTTACAGAGGGGACGGTAAGATCACAATATCAGCTTATCCTCCTCTTCCAGAGGGAGTTTTACTGCATGGAACTGAACTGTTCTTGTGTTGCACATGACGCTGTGCAGCAGAAGTGGTGCTACAGGGCCAGTCTGCCATTGGAGCTGCACCACTCCTCATGTGTGGCCTTGCATGAGACACCTAAATGATTTTGCTGTCAAGCAGAAAAGCAGGAACTACTTAGTTTTTACTCCTGCCAGCCCCTAGCAGTTATGCCCTTTCAAGGACCTTTTCCCATGGCTCTATAAACACCCTTCACACACAAATTCTAGAGAGAAGAGCCAATAACCCTTTGAGAACTGCTTTAATTACAGATAGAAATAGGATCTGAGATTCTGAATGCAGTATTATTTATCGGTCAGCTTCAATCAACTTTCTTACACACTGAATGAACATGTGAATAACATGATATTCTAAGCACTAATGTTGGAGCCAGGTGCTAGAGACTTCTTTTTCCAGGCTCTGCTTCCTCTGACCTTCATATCATTTGCAGTTTTGGCTAGTCCTTAGGAGGATATATAGCTTGTCATGCAGAATGAATTCTTTCTCTTCTGCTTAGTTAAATGGTAGAATAAAAAGCAATTCTCACTTTCTCCCCCTTCCCTCATCTTTCTCTGAACACAGCGCTGTTGATAACCAAGTCTACGTAGCTACCGTATCTCCTGCTAGAGATGAAAAAGCATCCTATGTTGCCTGGGGACACAGCACTGTAGTAAATCCATGGTGAGTTCAATTAAAAACAACACCACCTTTTTGGTTAAAAAATGTGGTTTACTTGGTGCTTCAGTCCCACGTTTCCACCTACTCTTAAAATGTAAATTCTTGGTAAAAAGCACATGAGACTTAACCTGCATTCTCAAAATCATCATTTGAAACTGTCAAACTGAAAACCAAGAAACTAAAACTACTTTAAGAGTATATATTCATTTTGGTAGTTAAGATGCTACTTAGTACTAGCATTTAGCATTAGCTTTCCTGCTGACCTTTTCAGCTTGTCCCTGAAGTTCAGTCCATTATATATTACTCATATGGTAATTCTCTGTGTAGAACCAAACTATGTTAAACAGCTTACACAAACCTATTTCATTTTCTCAAAGAACAACACTGCTTTGACATAATAAAGAACAAGAAGAATGTCTTCAGCTAGAGAAGAGAGATATCTGACTTGAGCAGAAGTCATGCAGATGCACAGGAGGTAAAAGCGACCAAATCTTCAGGCAGCTGTTTTTCTTTCAAATAAATCCGCTGATAGTTCTCTTCTAGCTGATTGCATAGTCAGAAAATCTTTGTGTTCTGAGCTTTTAACTTTATATGATGAAAGCAGTGACAGAACCCTTTAGAGGGAGACACGATAAATCATGATCAGTAGTTCACGCAGAGTAAAAGCACACTCTTATTAAAAGCCAGTAGGATCTTGAGAGGAGAAAGTGTTAGTCTTTGCCATATATGGTTATTCCTTTACCCTTGAGGTAGGTTGCATGCTCACATGCTCTGGTTCTTGATCTTTGGAACACACTTACGTGAAGTATGCCTATGTCACATATAAAATGTGCCACATACAAAGCCTGGAAGTCATTTCCATCATGCCACAGTTATGAATTATGATGCTATTTTTAGGAGAGCCATGTGTTTACAGCTGTAGGAATCAAGGGTAGGAACTCCCTTTAGTACAAACAGCAGCAACTGGACTGATGCCTTGAGGTCAATGTGTTAATGCTGTGAACAAATGTGCTTAATTTTGCAGGGGTGAAGTCATAGCCAAAGCTGGGGCTGACGAAACAGTTGTATACACAGATATAGGTAAGGGTAAAGTTGCTTTGGTTTTATCCCCACTTTTTTTTCTCGATTGCAGGCCATGAGACTAAGGAGAGGCAATTTTTTAAAGTCTGTGGCCTTGCCCATGCAACTACAGATGATGCAGCATTCTGATGCCTTCTACCCCTTTGCTGGGTTAAAGCAAGAACAAGCAGCACTTGGCTCTACTCTTCCAGTTTCCTTACTTAAAAGGAAGCTGCCACCTAAAGAAAGAGCAAAGCTGAGGCTCTTCAGCCCTGGCTGCCCACTTGCAGTGCCCTACAGGTCCATTCTCCTTGAAAGTTCTCTTTTCCCTGCCTTACCTCAGAGCAAGTCAGGAGCTTTCTTTTTTTGGCTGCTGTTCCTATAACTCTTCCTTCTCCCCCCTGCAGATCTGAAGAAACTTGCGGAGATACGTCAACAAATTCCTATTTTAAGCCAGAAGCGTTGTGACCTCTATGGCGTAGAGATGAAAAAGTGAAGCTTGGTGAAGAGGGAAGGTTCAGTTGCCACGGTGGCTGTTCCCTTCATCTTCAGAAGGATACCCTTACTACTTGCTGTACAATTTACTGCCGAATGTGCCAGTTAAAAAACCACCACACAAAAAAAACTTAGTGGTAAAATTCTAAAGTTGATTCAAATAATACTTTTGTATCTCCTCTCACATTTAAGTATTTCATAGTTCAGTTCAACATAGCAGTAATTAACATTGCTTTTATGCATGACAGTGTTTTAGTTACCTTTTGGGGGCTTTTACATAGAACACAGAAATGGAAACCTTGTTCTCTGAACCTCAAGTCAGCTTTGGTATTATGAATTTTCCAGTGAATTATCAGATAATCTAGAAGCATGATTCTTCCCACTCCGTCCTTTATAGATGTATGTGCCTTAACAAAGCTCCTTGAATGCCCTACTTCTAACTTGGAAATCTTAAAATTTAACATTGAGCAAAACAGGCCAAATTTTGCTCTGCGCTGCTCGGGACAATGCAAGAAGCTGCCAGACAGAGCTACTACTGTAGAAGAATCTGTAACAGTTTTTGATACATGTGTCTCACCTGGAATATATGTATTAAATCCTCCTTACGGCAATTCTTGTTTATTGCTGAAGTGATGTGGGTTACTGTATTGTAACAATTCCCCTGTTGCCGTACCTTGGCTCCACATAATATAGTGCTTCCTTAATGGAATGTCTGAATGGGCTTTAATTCTGTTCCCTGGGAGTTCTCCCTGGAAAAGGCTGAGGGGAGTCAAAGGGGTTAGAAAACTTGTTCCACTGATAAGGCTTTCTGTCCCCCCTTTTCCAGAAAACTGCTCCATGTTTAAATGCATTATTGCTACCACAGGCCACCCACTGCAGGGAAAACACTCCCTCCTGTGCTGCTTTTGCTGAAGAGACAACAAACTAAGTGTGAAACATGGCTTTAAAATAGTGAAAACCAGCCAAGCACGCTGTAGTTTTGATTGTTTTTTTCCTCAGAAGGAAGACACCTTTTAATGTAAAAAGAATTTGCAAATGATGCCCTTTTTCCTCCTTTGGGCTGGAAAAAAGCAGCAACTCTCCAGCCTATACCAATAGGCTTTCAGATTTCCAGCAGCATAAAAAAGCAGTAAGGCTAAAGATTTCAAAATACAAAAATGGGAAGGTTTTGTCTTGCTCTAGCTAACTATATTTCCCCCCAAACCATCTTACCTTTTGTTCATGTTCAGCCATCCTCCTCTTCCCACAGCTGCTTTTGTTATTGTTCTTTTGGCTTTTCTGCAATGAGCCAGGAGCTTGTTTTATAGAGAAGAATTAACACTTGAATTAAGCCAAACCCCAATGCATCCTCTCCCCCAAGAGACAGGTCCCACCCTTCCACTCAGTGGCATTAACTATTTCAGCAGGTCTTTTTTGGTCTGTATTCTCACTGCATTTTGGTGGACATACTGGACTGGAACTCTTAAGAAACAAGCCACAGAGCATAAGGTGAAATGAAGATTTATTTGTTGGAAAATAAATATTAAAAAATTCACAATTTACCATTTGAGCAAAGTCTCCTGCATTAGATCAGTGCCTCCCACATACTCAACAATCTGCATCCATGATGGCATTGCTGGGCTCCAACTTCTAATTCATAGTAACTATTATGCCTCCATTTTCCTAAACTATTCTGTCTTTCCCTCCCCTCTCTCTAGTAGGTTACCATGCAGCAGCAGCTAAATACTACCTTTGGAGGATTAAAGTAGTGCAGGACTCTCATAAGTTGACCACTGAAATTTTAAAAATGCAAAGTGCAGTCAGCAACAGACATCAGGATCTGGGGCCTGGACTCTCCTCCCCTGGAATCCCAAATGGAGAGGATAGATGGATGAAAATCTGTCACAAGCTACTTTGATGAACTCAGCTGAAGAGCTGATATGAGCTCAGTCCTCTTCAGTCTGTCAGGACAACTTCTAAGCACCTTAGTTTAGTGGGATATTTAGTAGGGTCTCAAGTGTGCTCCACTCATAAGTGATACAAATGGGACAGTGAGATTTTGAGGGTTTCAATGAAAAAAAGTACACTCTCAGATCTCAGACATAATATTTAAAGAAGCCAATACTCAACCTCTGCACTGACAGAAAACAGGCACTTTTAAGTAATCATATTGTACATGTGCACCAGTATTCTGTATAGAAAACCAACCACAAACAACCCTGAAATAGTTCCAGAATTTCCACTTGCAATAATTTAAATTCTTTTTAAAGAAATGGCAGGAAACACTGTAATGACTGTTGTATTGGGCAGTGTTAGTATCACTGGGCTGGTTAAAGCAGCATCTAAGCTGCTATTGACAGTTCCAGAGTAAGTTACAGCACAGCTCTTCAGTGTGTGTTAGTTCCCTCTTCACTTGCAATCTGCATTTACAGCCTAGTAATTCAAGTCACAGCTTAGAACCATAGAATATGCTGAGTTGGAAGGGACCCACCAGGATCATTGAGTCCAATTCCTGGCCCTGCACAGGACACCCCAAAAATCACACCATGGGCCTAAGACTGTTGTCCTTGTGAACAACAGTGATTATACATGATCAGAATTAAGTTGCAAGATAACTGTATGTAGAAGCAACTTCCCCGAGTATCTCTCTAGGATACACCTGGTTTATCCAAGTCTTCAGTACTAGATTCCTACACAATTTCAACAGTTTTGTTTTTCTTTTTTTTTTTTTCAATAGCAATAATATTTATTTCACTTCAGCTCTCGGTTCACAAAGTTCACGCGCACATCTGGCTTAAAGTAAAACCTCTGCTCTATCAGCCATTTAGAGAAAGTCCCTTTCCCTAAAGGGATCCACCTGCAGACACACATTAACAAGATGTCAGCTACTCAGACTCCTAGCTTTCTTGGCTCTACTTCCTTTCCCCTGTGACCTTCAGCCCTCAGGATCATACCTCTGTGGGTGACGGAATCAAGCGAAGACCAGATTTGTTGATTCCACATCTCCTCCTCCTTCTTAAAGGTTGAAGTGAGACCAGATGATAAGGAGTCAGTCAGTATTAGTTCTTCCTAGATTTGGAGCAACATCAAATAAGCACAGAGTTCACCACAGCAGAGAGCATTTCCATCAAAACCTGTTCTTATACATGTCAGAGAGAGATACTTGAAGGTAGTATTTATTTTTTCAGTTTACAGGTGATATGTCATTTACAAAAAAATTACAGACAATGCATCCTTTCAGTGCAGTTTCAAACTAGTTCAAGAACAGGCAAAAGTCTGTGATGATTTGGAATGCTAGTAATTGACAGCACATGCTTTTTTCCCTTAATTGACTGGGTGGGGTAAGGAATGGGGTACAGGTGGGGTGATGAGGAGAAAATGCCAATGTAAATAAGGCCATGCGAATAAAAACTCCTCAGGAGAACTCCTCCAGTCTGGCATATTTTTGTTCTCAGGTAATTGATGCAGAGATTGGAAGTTCGAGAAGACATTTGACACTTGTTATGTGCAGTGCCCTTAGAAGCTGCCAGTACCTTCCCATACCTTCAGTTCTACACCAGTGCTATGATTTCAGATCACCTACTGAGCTAGCTAAAATAGAATGATTAAAGCTTTATGTCTATTCTCCACCATTTGAATTCTCAACTGTAGTTGCTGGGAGAAAGGAAGGTCAAGTTGAAAATGCAAGCTGCCGCTGTATGGTGGCACAACTACAGAACAAGACAGTTTGACTACAGCATCATTAATTTCCTTAAAAGATTAAATACATTAGACAATTCACCACAAACAAATCTATGATTTCAGGATGGAAAGAAGCCCAAACTAGTGTGTCATAAATTAAGCTACATCATTTGCATGAGGTTTATCCAGCCACATCAATCCAGAGAGAGGCAAGATGGACTGACCGACTTCCACATCAGAAAGATCAACCCAAAGCAAGGGTGAAGTTCCTAACTAAAGGAAGACTATTCCATAATTTGCCCCTCTGCTGTTGGCAGCACAGTTGCTTCCTTTCTACAGTATTTGTAATCTCAGACAAGACAAGGTCTACGGAACAAGGAAACCAATGCAGATTCCAAATCCGTTATTTGAAGTTTTAGCCTATGCTTTGTTCCTTATCTCACTCAATTGTGCAAAGGGGCTCTTAGAAGGAGCAGATCGTAACACAGTTGTCTCTGGAGACTGAAGAGGATTTAGATGGTAACATTTATGCAAAAGCATCAGAGATTACAAAGATTATACGCAAGCATGACCTTACCTTTGGGAGCTTGACTCCCAGCAGTACTTTCTGTTCTTGAAAGTCCCTCTGAACCCTCCAGAACAGCTTCCCATGACATTCAAGTAAGGACTGCTACACAGAAACACAGCCTTTCTTCCTGTGAAGTCTCTGCTGAAGCAGTGTTACCTGACCTCCTTCCCCAGGCAACCTTTTTTACTTGCTCTCCTAATCAGTCCTCTAGGACTTTCTGAGGTGAAGATAAGGACTATCAAATTAATTCCCTAATAGCTGCCACAGGACTATTTCTAAGTAAGTTATGCAGAAGGTGGAAGGGGATTTAAGGGAAGATTGTGCATGCTTGCATATATTTACAGGGATTCTCTCCACATCTACTGACTTAAAAAAACCCTCTATTATTAAAGTTTGAAAATTAATTTTTGCCTTTTTGCAAAATTAAAATCAACCCTCAAGGATTAATAGGATATAAAAAAGAAATCTATTTTACAGCACTGACTAGTATTACCTTTAAAATCAACAGGAAAAAAACCCACATGCTGTATTATTATTTGATAAAGCAAAAATCGCCCACAACATAATCACCCAAAATGAACCAGTGTGAAGTTTTTATTTGCATGGCCAAAATATCTTCCTTTTGTTCCCCTGCAACTTTAATTCCCTTAACACACCTTAAGGTTTTTGCTGCAGGAGGAACAAGATGCAGCAATTCATACTTCCTTGAACAACCACTCCCACAACACCTAAACATTTAACAGATGTAGCAAATGACAACACCACGAACGGGAAAAAACTAATTCCACCATTCAGCATGGTCTGCAACAGCGTCTTTAGGGCTGGCTGAAGTGGGCAACTTCACTTTAGAACGCCATTTCCTCCTTGTTCCTTTACAGTGTTGGTGGTTTCAATCCATACTTCTTTGCAACTTCTGTCTGGGCATAGGCAGCATCACAGAGTGAGTAGAGGTGAGCCATCTCCATTTCGGATTTGGCCAGGTTGATAGCTTTGTTGAACATTTCAATGGCTTTATCCAGATTACCTCTGAAACAAATGAAAATTTAGTCCAATTAAGACTCCCAAAGCAATTTTTTCATCTCTGCAACATCATTTTTCCTTCAGGGCTTGCACTCAGCACTGCTGGCAGCTTAAGACGACATCGGGAGGGACCACCATAAGAACTGAGAGAAACTGTTACCAAGACTAAACAACTGGAACAACTGTTAAAAAGTCTTCCTCTCGGGAGCCCCCACGGGTGGTAATGCAGGATAAAATGTTCTCACCAGGACACCAAGTTTATTTACTACAAAGATAATGCTGGGACAACCAAAGGAACTCTCACCTCCCTTCAGAAGAGTTTGTATACATAAAAGAAAAACTCGCACAGACAGAAGCACGTTATTTAAATAGCAAAAGCTTGCAAAATTTCTCATGGCAGTAGTTTAATTGTCTGTCCTTTTGATGACTGGGCATATTAAAAAAAGATTCAACTGTACTCTCAGCTACACGCCAAACTTTTGCCCAATTGCAATACAATGTTACAGAACAGTGCATTAGTGTTTCCTCGGTAGGTGAGAACTTGCAATCTGCACTCCTTGTTGGCTACAGGAGAGAACAGCACAGGATCTTCAGTACAAATGGCCCATTATGTTAAAGGACAACATCAGACACAAGTGAAGCCTAGTGATGATTAAGGAAGTCACTTTAAATGCAGAAGGGATGTCTTTAAACATACACAGACTCATCTGCATGTTGCCCAGTAAATATGAAGATCACCAACATGAGAAATTGTCAGATCCTAAATCAGAATTACACCACAGAGAATGGAAGGCTTTACCGAAGAATTAGAGAACAGAAGTCAGGACTTTGGGTAAGAGCTGGCCTTGCACAGCACCGGGGAGAAGATCTTAAGACTTATGATCCATAAGGATATTTAAAGAACTACTGTAATTTCAAAAATAACTAAGAACATTTAGCACTTCAATTCAGCATTACCTTTGCACTTCAATCGTTCCCATGGTTTCATATGCAAAATCACATTTGTTATCAATCTCAATGGCCTTGCTTATGAGTTCTAACCCTTTGTCTAAGTCTTGCTTCCACTGGAGCTGAAGTAAACTAGAAGAAAAAGAAAATTTCAAACAGACTTCAAATACTCCTCCCAAAACCCTGATCATGGTAAGCAAAAGCATCCCAAATGTAAAATGCATTTCATTTCTAATGCAGGGTAGGCAGTAACTTAGTAACTTCATTACTTTTAGAAACATGTCTATGAATGTCACCTTCAATAAGCCACGTTACTGCTTTAGTGACACTAAAGAAAGGCAAATTTCTCC